GCGCTCAGTGAGGGACGGCGGCGGCAGCACCGGTTTCTGGGCGTTTATTGTTTTTAGTACAAAATAGCTATGGCTAAAATTCGCTAGCTTAGGAGGAGCTGCTACTGGCGAAGTCTCTTTCCGGGCTGTAAAACAATACTTCAAGTCATGAGGAAAGACAAAGCAGTAGGGAGAGGGCAGGGGTTCAGAAACGTTTCAGACTCCGAGAGAAGGGAGAATGCTGGAAAAGAAGAGGATGCTCAAACCAGCCACACTGGATTAAAAATAAGCATTTCAATGTAGGTAGACTTTACATCAGAATTTGTCAAGTAGTATTCCAATATTAAGCCAGCTTATTCATACACTCCAACTCAGTCACGTTATCCAGAAAACCCCGGGAGAGGAAAGTCTCTCCCTCCCTAGCACGTTCACCTCTTCACCTACCACAGGGCTCCTGGGCACTGGCACTCAACCGCCCCAGCCTGCGTGCCTGCCTCGGGGCTAGACGGACATAGTTTAGCTATCGCTGCCTCCGGCAGGAGCACCACACACCACCTCTGGCAACTGCCGGCAACTTCGAGCTTGCTCTGCTTAACGCATCAAACACCGGCTCCAATGGCTTTACAGTAAAGCTCTGGCTTTACGTCCATGTGTCATCTCCTCCTGAGTGCATGACTCATTTATTATCACACTTAAGGCCATAGTCTTTCTACTTTGCAAAGATTCTCTTCTCTGTTGTAGTTAAGATGCTGGGAAAATAAATTCAAATAACTGAAAATACAATGAGAACACATTTCAAATTCCGAATCTACAACTGAGGTTCCTCAACCAGAAACATCCAACAGCACAATGCCCCCTTTTCTTCCTTTGTTCCTTCTTCCCTTCGAAGGCACTTCTGGATTGCGTAGTACATGCTCTTTGGCTGCACAGACAGTCAGAACACATAAGGCTTGCACGCCAGTCACTCCTCTTCCTTCGCGTTACTGGTCTCACTCTCCTGTTTCTTCTCCGCTCCCTGCTCCGTGGGCTTCGCAGCACTGTCTTCGTACTGACACAGTCTGCTTCGGCTTCGGGCTCCGGGCTGGTACAGCTGCATTGCTGGACGATCCTGAAATAAATCAAAACTATTTAGACTTCTTTCACAGCCCCATGCTATCATGGTTATTATGGCATCAGTGATATCAGAAATGGCTCAAATTCAAACTTTTCAAGGTGTTCCAAGTTAAATTATTCCACCGTGGTGGCAATCTAACTTCCACTGTCTCAAATCAAGGTCGTCTCTGTTGTAAGGCAACATCCCTGTTCAAGCCACAAAGAACACTGCACATCGTTGAAGTTATTCATAAAGCCTCCTACTTCGACGAGTTCAGCTCGCCCTCTCTCAGGGTAGAGGCCAACGTCAAAGCTTCTTCAAAACCTTGAGTTTCTTTTATACCTGATCATGCCTTAAGCGACACGGAAAACTTGCATAATGATGCTGCAAAAACAGATTTGCTGAGTATTTAAAACTAAACTCAAGACATTATTTCTTGAGCCTACAGGAGATCTTCTGCCATATCCTGCATGTAGCAGTCTTGTCCCCGATTTGGAGGAACCTGTTCAATCACACTCCCACTTCAAGATGTATTTTCGGGCATGCATAGCATCAGCAGAGATACAGGTAGATTAGTGATGCTCCACCAACACCTTAAAGACACAGCCTACAGCACAAGTCGGCAAATGGAAAGAGGGATCAGTGTCTTTACAATTTTGCCCGTGATATCCCGGGTTAATTCCTGTACAGTGACAGGAAGTATCACAAACAGTTTAGCAAAGTTTAGTGGACAAATGGGGACATTTTCTAGCAATGGCAGAGTTTGTTACCAGAACAGGGAGAAGTTTCAACAGAGAAACCATCTGGTTCTTTCCTTGAAGCGCTTTTATCCTAAAAACCACAAACTGGTCCCCACGAATCAACACACGAATTTAAAGAAATCCAGCACCTTGTTTCTGATACGATCCCTCTTAATTGTGTCCTCTTTTTTATCGTCTTTGGTTACTTTCTCAGATTTGTCCGTGCTGCTGGTAAAGTCTGTAAGATCACTTTTCTTTCCCTTTTCTCTGAGTAAGTCTCTCTCCTTTTTCATATCTTCCTCTTTTCTTCTAAAAACCTTCTCTTTCTCAAAGCGCTCTTTCTGCCTCCGACGCTCCTCCTCTTGGCGCCTCAGTTTCTCCCTCTGTGCTCTCTCATATTCTCTGTCTCTTTCAAAATCTCTATCTCGGTCCCTGTAGTCCTTTACACACTCATCTTCTGATCTGTATGAAAACAAAACTGAAAATTAAGCTCAAAAGATTCATCAAACAGAGCTGGGAGATCAACGTAATACTGGTGTAAATCTGCAATACGAAGACGACACACTGGTAGGTTCTAGGGAGCTTTTGGGAAGCCGTGATCACCTGAGTCATGCACGATAACCAGAGATGACACTGACCGCTAGCGTCTCCTAGCCTTCTACTCACACAGCTGGCTTCGGAAAACACCTGAATTTCTCTGTCTTATCTCTATTTCTCACATGGCAGAACCGAACCTTGAACAGATTGCAGAGCTGTTGAGAATGGCACTTTCTGCTTTGACCTTTTAACAAGACTTAAAGGGACTTTTAACCCGAGTACACCTCTCCTCTTGCCATGGTTATAAATTCTCTCATTGCAAGGACAGTGCTCACGGCCTGCTGTGGGTCACCTACACCTGGGCTTCTTTTGCCGAGTTCCTACAGTGAGTTGCAAAAATATTAAAATTCATCCACTAGTGAAGAGTTCTCGGGTATTTCACACAGCTTTTTGTAATCGCGGGGACATGCGCCGCCACAGAGAACACATCCTGTGCCTTGTATTAGAAAAATAATTTGAAAGGCATTTCAAAACATGGTCACGGCAGAGCAGCCTAAGCCTCAGCAGGATCAGCAAACAAGTTATATATACACAGATATTTATAGCAAGTACTAGAATACTTTTTTGCCTTCTCTTCTTTTGTCTCCCCATCAGATCGTTTGGCAGATGCACTACTCGCATTTTTTTCCTCCCTCAGAGTCTCTTTTTCCAGTTTCTTGGATTTTTCTTTTTTCTCCAAGTCTTTTTCATCTTTTTCAGGCTTCTTAAGTAGCTACAAAGAAAACAGAAGTCTCAACTAAAAAGCTCACTCTAACACATATTGTCTGGCACAACACCGAAATTTGATCAAAGGAACCACAGTCCAGTGAGAAATCAACATTAAGTAACGTTCCTGCAACTTGTAGTATCTCTAAAAGCTGGAGTGTATGAGTAAGCACAATCTGCATAGCAGACTAGGATTTTTCTCCTAAACCAGGCCATTTTAGAAAGTTTAAAAATAGTCTCCATTCCATAGTGAATTCACAATTCTGTTTACCACAGCATGTACAACAGTCACATGACAAAAGCATTAAATATTACTATGAAGCATTACAGCGTTTAGACCTTTACAATGCCTAATATTGAATATTACAAAAAAGTGGTAATTTACTAACACCAAACTCATGTGATTCTTCACACAATACTCAAAGCACATTTTGAGAAACTGATATACAAATAATAGGGGAAAGGGAACGTAACAGTTTATAATAAAGAACTGTTCTAGACCTTAATCTTTGGCTCTTCTTTTGATCTGTCTCTTTCTTTTTCTGGGCATCTGTCTACCTTCTTCAGTTTTTCTGCTTCTTTTCTCTTCCTTCTCTCCTCCTCTTTCCATTTTCTTCTTTCTTCTTCTCTTTGTCTTTTTCTTTCCAATTCTCTCCTCCTCCTCTCCTCTCTTTTTTCTTCTCTCAGTCTCTGTGTGTGTAAAACCAAAGGGAAGTACTTTATTTCCACACTAGAAAACATCCCTTTAAGCCTAACAAGATACTTTATCACTTTGTGGCAGAGTATTTCATCACCAAGCAACTCACCTCAAAACCGCCCCTATTATAAAAAGGAGGGGAGAAAAAAAAAAATAAAGCCCTGTCACCTCTGTTGTTCTGTTGTGAACGTGAGGATGTTATAGCAGCATTTATTTTTTTTTTCCTCCTCGCTCATAAGCCTCAGTTTGCACTGTCTTAAAAAAACCCCAAAGACATCACTAGCCTCAGCCTTTACCATTCTAATTAAATCTGCCCCATCTGTGATTTTCTCCATGGCTAAAAGTTAAAATGAGATTATGTGCTAGGAGAAAGATCATCTGCAAGGACCTCAGCTATAACTGCATTAAAATGAAAGCATCAAAATGGAATCCGCTTTGACAGTGCCACAAGAGATGTTTAGCTGTGACCAGAATGCACATAAAGCACCGTCATTCCTGCAAAGGCCAGCGTTCCAGCAGCTTAAAATATGTGAACTAGATGTTCACAAGAAAGTTGCGTCAAAAGCTGCTTCTTCAAAAGGAAGGGCAGAAACGTATCCATATACACACTGCAATATACACACCCGTGCTTTAAATGAGGAAATTGTACTTGCAAGCAACAAGACGATTCTGGAGATAAGTCTTACCTGTTTATTTTTCAAGAAGTTCAATAAAGGAGTAGTCTTTTTAGCTAGAGAATATACAAAACAAACATAAACAATTTGCCTTATCCAATACTGCAATACCTACAACAAAACCCCACATGAAATGAAGAAGCTTCGTGGATTATCCAGCCTCTCACATACAGCAGCAAAGCAAGCATTCCAACCCTAGCCCTGAACAGTGGCGACTATCGGGATTCTGTAAACTTCTCTAGGACACTAACACGATATCCACTGCTGGTAAAGGGATACTCAGTCTGCACTAGGCTTGTCCCAGATTCTCCTGCTTTGGAAGAGATACCTGTAACATTCTTCAAAAGAGCACTATGGTAATTTTTGTGGCATTTTACCCAACCACAATATCTCTGAATTTCTGCCTGCATGGAGCATCACTGCTCACGGCATCTTGCATTAAACATTACTGCATCCCACTGAAATGCAGCCACTCTGCAGCCTAGTCTGGCCAAAAAATATCTGACTAGCAGCTTAAAACAGGAAAGAAGGTCATCATATAAAACTGAAACCTAGAGAAGAGTTTAGAGCAGGGGATAAAAATAAAATACATTGAATAACATTAGCCTAAAGGTTTAACAAATACCAAGCAAGTACATAAAAGAATGCAGCTTCCTCCAGGCTGAGAAATCACAGCTCTAAATTACACCCCATACATTTCTTTGCGCTCTATGAAAATGTAGCTATAGCACATAGATTTCCATACCTATTAGCTCTTTGTTTCTTGCCTCTATTTCCTCCAACAGAGTTTCAGGAGTGGAGGTTAATTTTTCATCATCTGCACTGTAACTTTCCAAAAACTTCTTGTACTCTGGATCTACAGGGGAAGGAAAGAGGGCGGGGGAAAAAAAAAATCTACTGTAGCATGAAAATAATTTGCATTGCGCATTGCTGGAAGTCTGGGTTAGATTTGCATAATTTGTGTTGTTTATATGTCACCTTTTCACAAGTTGGCAGCTCTCAGATGAGCTGCTGCACTATGCTTGTCTAGGAAAATCATATTTAATAGATTTGCAGCTGACAAAGCCGTGATAATAAGCTTCATATATAATTAAGCAAACACTCTATTGATAAACTACAGCCTCACAGTAAAAACATTACATTC